GCTAGGTATTATGACAGCACAAAAGATATACAAAATATTGTTCTTACATTCCAGAAGCTCACCATGTTCTTGCATACACTGTGGGGAAAATTCCCACAACTATATCTCACTATAGTTTCAGCAAGGAAAGATTTAAGTTAATGACCAATATCATATCAACACTAGAACCTTGCAGTTACCTAGGGCTTCATTATCTTTCATTTCACAATTACTCAATGAACATTGGCAGCTTTCCCATTTAATACTTCATCTCACTTTCTACAGGTACTAACTTTTAACATTACACAGGAAGAAACACAGATTAAAATTTATTTACCTCTGGAATCCATACATTTCCCTCCTTGGAAAAATGGTACTTGGTTGCACTGTGTGATCCCAAACAACGACCTTCTTTCTGGAGTAGCTCTTCTTTTACCAATGTTTTATTTCTAATGCTACAGACCCTTGGTCAGCTACACGCTGGTGATGTAGCCTTGAACCATTACTATAACCATCCCTGTACATGTTCTTAGTGGTTAAGAAATGAATGCAACCAAAACTGAACAATATTAGCTCTTTACAAAATAGGTCTTCTCAAGAGAAGGCAGGAAAGGGTTTCCATACCCTGATCATATAGTTGTATGGTGCAACACTTAAATCACCTGTGCCACTGGGTCCACAATGGTGGGAAGAAATGGTGGAAAGGAAGGCACTGCTGTGCAGTGAGAAACAAAGAGATGGAGATGAGAAGGAAGGGTTGAAAGATGTAGGAAAAAATATTAGCAAGCCAACAGTATATATCACAGAGCCATTTAAAGAATTGCTGGGATTAGTTCTTCCTCTTCTTCCCATAATCACCTTTTGTAAATTAATAGACTGAGTTTTCCTCTGAAATTTGAATTTCACGTCCCAGCTTACGTGTGGTTGAGTCTCAGCATGGAAAGTGAGCCCCTGGCTGGATCTGAGCCTGACCTAGATATTTACCAGCTGTTTAAACTCCAGACAGATACTTCATTTCTTGAAACCTCGTTTTTCTCACCTACAAAATGGATTTGAAATGATTATGTATTTTGTTATTGAAATATTGGTATGCTACATGCTGTGTATTTATGAGTGTCTAGTAATTTAAAAAAAGAAGGAAAGTTGAAGATCTGTTTTCTTTCCTTCTTTACAAGTTTTGGTGCCCCTTTTGTTCCATGTCCCTTAAAACTTTCCACCATCCTTTCCAGCTGGCATTCTTGGGAATCATTTGTGCAGCTGAAGCTCGAAGAATGGCTGGGGAGAGCTGTGTGCTGGTAGTTTACACTACAGTTTGCCTCAACTCAACCCACAAGCAGAGGCCAGCTACACACACGAAACCACACCACACATCATCACTACATCTTTCCTGACTGTCGCTGTTCTATGATTGCTCATGGAAATTTAACAGGAAACTCAACCAGGAAAGCAAACCGAACATAAAAAAGTATTTCTGACAATAGAACAAACCACCAGAGAATGTAAAGTTTAGCCAGATTAGAGAAAATATTGACAACTAAGAAGAAAGGATAGGAAAGAATGGAAAATTACGGAGCCAAAATTTTATACATATTTTCTCATTCAATTCATATGTACCTTTAGAAGGAGATTTTATTATGAAATTATAGATGTGGAAACTGAGCCTGAGAAAAGTTAAGTGTTTTGCTGGCTGTGGCAGTGCACACCTATAATCCCAGCACTGGGGACCCGGAGGCAGGAGGATTGCCCTAAATTTGAGGCCAACCTAGACTACATAGCAAGACCCTGTCACAAAACAAAACAAAACCTCAATAGAAAAGTTGAGTGTCTGCCCAATGACATGTGGCCTTAATGGGAAGAAATGACAGTGTATCTGAAGCCAGAAGGCATACCCTCCACAGGACTTTATTTCTCCCCCTGTAACACAACTGGAATGTTTCACAGAAAAACGCAGCCTATTAATTTATAAAAGGAGATTAGGAGTAGAAGTAAATCTACAATACAAATGAATCTTACAAAAAGAGATTTTGCTGAGCAAAGACTGCCTGCGAGTAAAAAGAGTTTTCAGGGTAAGAATGAATCTGAAATAGGATAAATTTCTTAGATAAAGAGCTGAATTATATTTCTTCGGCCTTTTGCATCTGTTTTAATGCTACAATTTGATAAACTAAATTCCACATAAATTTAAGGAATACTACTACTGTCATTTGTCCCCAAGGGCTATAAAATTGCGGTTTGATCTTTCAAGGAAGGCAAATGAAATGTTTCCACATGGACAATACAGTGTGCTGTGGAGTGGGAAGGTCTGTTCTAATTCCCCTTCTGAGGCTTGCAGTCACTTTCCATGTTTAGCTTCTTTCTTTTTTTTCTTAGATCACTAATACCCTATTGTAGTGCAAACACCTGCAAAAAGAATTTATTCACACCAGCGATTAGAATGGGAGCAGGGCAGTGAGAACTCTTAAAAACAAAGAGCTAGAATTTTGTGTTTTAGTCTTTGCCTCCCCTTAATTTTTCTCTCCCCCCCCCTCATTTGCTATCCTGCACAGAAACACACCACCACATATTTCTATTACCAACTTTTAATGAGGTTAACTATACAACTCGCTGATATATCACAATATTTTCTTTGGAATCTACTTTCCAAATTATAACTGAACAGGAGTAATTTTTTCCTTTTATAAAACTGTAACCTAAATGTTATGGACCAATCTCAAAGCAGCATTTCATCTTGCCTGTAAGCTGAAATGCCTCCTCTATCTACTTATTCTGGTTATCACTAATTCTCGTAGTTCAGATTTTTTAGGATGCAGCACTTTATTTATGCAGTTTTGAAATAGATATTTAAATTGGCATGGTGCTTTAAAAGCTTAAACTTTGAAGTCAAATTTTGCTGGACCTGAAATCTAACTTTCCTGTTTCTGGGCTTTTGAATCTTCAGGCCAGCAATTTACTTGCCTTACTTTTCTCATCCGCGAATAAGGAAAATGGCCATGCCTACATTTCTGACTGTTGGAAGGGTAAAATGAAACCCTTAGCAAATAGGCTCAAATACAGTACATTATCAATACCCTCTTCGCACATAATATCATAATGTGAGATACTGGGGAAATAGTTATATGAGCTAAAAGAATAATGTACACTATTAGTTTATTTGTGCTGCAGTAACAAAATACCCAAGCTTGGATCATTTATAAACATCTGAAGGTTACGAAGGCCAAGACAGAGGCAGAGGTGTGATAAGTATCTGGCAAGGGCTGTTCTTTGCCACAAGACAACACTTCATGCCATCCTACGGATCGGAGGAGCACTGTGTTCCCACAAGTGGCGAAAGGCAGGAGGGCACCATGCGTGAGCTCTGTATGAAGCCTCTCTTATGAGACATTAATACCAGCTGCGAGACTTCAGCCCTTCTGAGCAAATGTTCTCCTAAGTGCACTAAGTATTGATAATCATATAGTTGGACTTTATCATGAATTTCACAGGAGACACTTTCAAACCATTGCGTGTACAAGTAATTCAGAATAGTTTTCCAGTATTGACTTTTCAAGTAATAGAAGTGGTTGTAAATATTAACTATAGAAAGCTACCAATTGGTGCCCAGTACTACTTAAGATTGAACTGATGTTATAGTGAGAATTCTGTTTTAGTCACTGACTTGCCTTTAGGACAAAATATCCAACATTTACATCTGAAAGGAAGAAAGGATAATTTTGGTTCACATGTCAAAAATTTTGGTTCTTGCATGGTCTACATTATGGCAAAAGGGTCTGAGGCAGGGAAATGTTGCTTGTCTTATGGCCAGACAGTGAAGGGCTGAGGCAGGGAGGGAGACATGCCCTTGCAGCTCACACCTCCAGTGACCCACTCTAACCAGACTGCTGCCTCCTAAAAGGAAGTCAGCTGTAGCCCATAATCCAAGCATCTTCCAACAATTCCATCCCTGCATGTATCAGGATCTTAGATAACATGTAGGTATAAACTATAAAGTCACTCTTCACAGACATGGTTACCTTGCGGGGTCATGCTTTTTCAGAAATACATTGCCAAATACCTTCACAATGACTGAGCTGAAGTATCCACTGGATATTTGAACAAAATGAATCAATCTGATAAATTTGATCCACCACTCTTTTAATTGTTGCTCATGGACTAAAATTTAATGAAGCAGCACCATGGGTGCCCTAGAATGCTAAAGAAATTGGAAGGATTTAAAGCCTTTCTTGTAAGGTTCAATGTGTACAACCATCTTGATTAGTATTATAAAGTTAAGATCTGGCCAAAACCACTGAGCACAGAAACATTTCTCAAGTTTCTGCTGCATTCTAATGCTGTGATTGGTCCTGAGAGGACTGGTGTACAATGTCCTGGATGTCAAGAAATGAACACATGAGTGAGGTAAGAGGAGGAGCCTTTTACAAACAGAAGTTAGATTTTGCTTCAATAATTGTGAAGAGCTAACCATCCAAAGTCAGTGACTCAAAACAAGCTAAGTAGGTGCAGGTTACACAAGGGAGCTTGTCCTCTGGGGTTTCTCAACTTTCTGTGCCTTAATACCTCCTTAACGAGGCTTTTTAGTCATGTCCTAATGCTTTCTCAAAATGAAATCTTAATACTACAGATAAATGGTGTATGCACATACTATATGTATATAGGAGTTTCATGCAAAAAATAATGTTTGGTTTTTGCTTTTTGTTTTGTTTGTCTTTGCTTTTTTAAGAGTCTACTTGAGGGCTACATTGTGATCTAATCCATCTCAAAAGGGTCTGGAGAAGCTGCTAGAGATTGTAATAGTTTGATTGCGTCTTGAAAGTATCAGGAATTGTTCAAACAAAGAAGAAAGAAGTTCATTCCAAACTGTGGGAACAGTAGTGTAGTAATAGGTGAAATAAGCTTCAGTACTGGAAACAGTCAACGTAGTTGGAATGTCAGGCTGAAGTCAGGGTGTGGTTAAGTGGTAGGTGTACTATGAATCAGAGCTCCAGAGCCCCTCAGCACAAAATCAACATTTCACTGCTTCTTCTGAACCATTCTTACCTACGTTCATCTCCTCATAGAAACTACCTTGCTCCTGAGCACAGCAGTCTCTCCCTTTAGCCTGGAAGCTCCCACAATTGAAGGGGAAGGTTCCGTGCAGCAATAAGATCATCAAATGGGGTTTAAACACTGCTATTCTTCTGATCAGGTCAGTTGGGAAATTAGGGGAAATGAATCATTGAAAGCAGCTGTGTGGGTTGACTATGCATTGGCACTCGGCCATTGTTTGCCAGTAAACGCAGCAGCAGAAATCAACTTGCACTGAAGCTGACTCACGCACATGTCTCAAATCACAGTGAATGTCTTAGGGGTGATTTAAAGATTTTTTTCCTGAGTTTTACTAGGAACAAGAAAGCTTTCCCCTTAAGCCCTGGAGAAAGACATTTATTTGGGTTGCCTGTCAGTTTTCAGTATTTGTGTCAACTCTTCTATTTGTCCACCTTTACCCGCTTTGGCAAGCAAGGCAGTGTTGTTAAGAAGTAAAGCACACATTCTTTTTGCCAGAGTTTTGATATGTTCGGATTTTCCAAATCAAAGGTTTGGTCACCATGATATGACGAACATAAGCCTTCCCAGGGAAGAAAATAAGAGTGAATTTGAAACCATGATTGTTCCAAAATAACTTGGGAATAAAGTCATCAGATTTCAGGCTAATCTGGGACTTATTAAATTAAAAATGACTATATTATAAAACGTTGAAATAATTCCCTAACTTACAGCTAATTACTTTAACTGAGACACTTAAGAAAATAGCAAAAAAAATCCCATCGTGAAATACATGCAAAACTAAATGTCAAAGACTCTCTTGCATTTGGTTCCTACAACCTAGCATGGATTAAATTTGTGGCGTGCTTAAATTGTCTATATTTTTCAAACATATGGAGAAACTGCCACATGTAAGTCATCATATAGACATAATATAATTGTGCTCACATGGAACATTTGTTTTTCTGGGTCTTAGTAAGGACACCCTAATTAATTAAAGAATGGCAGATGCTATTGCTGACTTCTTTGTTCCTTAAGTCTTCATTTTCAAGACATGATACAATGTTAGTGAAAATGATCTTTTCAGACCATATTAAACAGAGACACATAATTAAAATACAATTAACAGAAAAATTTTAGGATTAGCTCTGAATCACAGATGAAATCAAGACCAATCTGATTTGCAATGTACAAGTTTCTGAGGGTCCAGTGCCGTTTTTGTGGGGTGCTGTCCATCTTCCCCGTCACTGGCATCCCAGGCTGTGCATCTGACCACAAGCCTCGCTTACACATCACGCTGTAGTTCTCTTCTTCACTGTCTCGCTTTCCTGACAGTGGGAACCTTCTGTCCAGTAAGGGTCAGGAGGGTCATTCTGAGTCTTCCTCAGCTCGTTTGAGACATTGCCTATATTGGGGAAAGGAAAAGATAATTTAATCAGCTTGTTAGATGCTGCCTCTGAGATAGCATGAAAGCAATAAGGTCTTGCTTAATGAAATTTAATTTCCTAATTATGTTAAAATCCATTTCCTTGTTTTATATTTCAATATGTGGCTATTGAGGATACTAATGAATTAGCATAATATTTACAATGGTTGTCATGGAGGTTGACAAGTAATTTATAACATTAAATAATCTGTATTTTGTAAGTTTTACATGTATATAAGATTAGATGAAATGTGTATAAAATATGTGAACACTCTTTCTGTGCAAGCTGGACAGACATTTAAAGCAAACACTAGGGAAACTTTTTTTTCTAACAATTTAGGTATATAGTTCAATAAAATTTTTAAAATTTAATCTTTAAGTTTAAAATATTAATATTCCTGAATTATAACTGCATGTTTTCTTTTAAATTTATAACATATTTTAAAATAAAATATTTTTTATATATAGGAAATATTTTTTTTCTACCAGGAATTGAACTCATGATCTCAATACTTACCAAGCAAATGTGTGAGCTGCTGAGCTACATCCCCAGCCCAATAACTTCATTTTTACCTTTCTAAAATTTACTTTTTTGATGAAAAATATTAAATTTGTAAACTCTGAATGCAATTACATTTTATTTCTGATCTTTTAAGTCGTTTGAGAAAATTAAAAAATTAATGATTTATATGAACATTTTTATGCAATTAAGAAAATGTAATAATTTATATAAAAGATAAATGTAAATGGTCTACTAATACAATACTGATAATTAGAGAAATGCACATTGATAATTAAATTTGATAATGTTTGATTATTTTCTGTCTGATAAGAGCTATAACATTACACGTAGCTGAGAGTGGTGGCACACATTTGTAATCCCAGCACTTAGGAGGCTGAGACAGGAGGACTACCTCTTGTTAAAGCCAGTCTGGGCTACAGAGAAAGACCCTGTATCAAAAATCTGATTTTTAAGTTTATTATTGTGAAGATATATTTTAAAGTATGAGGCTGTATTATATTTTATTTAACTGTGTATCATTTGTATTTATAATTTTAGAATATTTATGGGCATATACATGAGTCTCATTGGTAATCTTACTCCAAATCCTGCTGATATCTTATTTTTAAAATTTCAACATCACCGACACTCTCATATATTATTGTCTTTTTTGCAGATTTACTTAATTTTTTATTTTAAAGATAAAACAACTAGTACAAGAAAAAGAATAAAAACAATGATACAGCCAGATATTTAGCACAGTGCTGCCTAGCAAGCATGAAATCATGAGTTCGATCCGCAGTACCAAAAGAAAAACAAAAAACAAACAAACAAAAACATGATATAGAATTTCAAGACAAAATAAAAGGGAATTAACACTTGTTAATATATCACATATTGTTTTCTTCAAATTAGTTGTTCAGATTACAAGATTTCGGCATGAAAAATATGATCAAACAAACAATGAATGCACAAACTGTTCTTTTTGAACTAACAGAGATTAGTAGTATAGTTATCTGCTATATATTATACATATTATACATAAGGTTTTTTCCCTTCTTTCTTTTCTCCTTTCCTGTTTCTGGGTCTTTTTCCAGAATAATTAAAAATATCACACAACAGCAATATATGTGCACTCATGTCTAGAGCAGTACAATTTGTAATAGCTAAATCTTGGAAACAACTCAAATGCCCATCAACCACTGAATGGATAAAAAAAGTGTTATTTTTTATATAATGGAGCACTATTCAGCTATAAAGAAGGATAAACTTGAAGCTTCTATAGGTAAGTGGAGGCAACCTGAGACCATAATCATAAGGGAAATAAATCAGACTCCTGTGTAAATACCATATTGTCTCTCTTGTATAAAACCCTGAAAGAGAAAATAAGACTCAAAATGCACAATAGATATTGTGACAATGAAAGGGAAAGAGCTTGAAAGATTTGCTTTTCTTTAAAGTCCTTACTATAGCTCATGTTATATATTTTAATTTTATTTATTGTCATTTTAGTAAAATGTAAGTTATAAAGTGTGGATTTTGCTCATTTCATCACTCTAAAACATAATACGGCACATCCTAGGTGCTCAGTGATTTCATTTTTTCATTGTGCTTTAATCAAGTAAAAAGTTCACTGAACCCCTTCTGTGTTCTGGACTCTGTTGAGTGCTGTTACTTATATCTGCAGCACAGGGATAGAAAATGGGACTGAGGAGCTCTAGTACATTTTTAATTAGACAAAGGAATCATTGACGTGATCTCATTGCAGATCTATGCAGGTTCTTAAAGGGGAGTGGAAGAATACAAGCCACCACCGCCCACCGGGGGATTCCATTTAACCACCGTTAACAACCCCATAAACACACATCATTTCTTAGTCACTCATTGTAGAAGGCAAGAAGTGACTCATAAATTCTTTAATCCCTCTGGGAGCAGGCTGTCTCTAGGTCCATATATTCGTTGCCTCAGGAGTCATTCCAGAGTAAAGATGGCTGTGAACCACATTGAATGTAAGGCTCACTGTGTCAGACAGTGCAGGCTTCTGTGTTTTTAAATTCTTTTTCCCTTAGAAAGAGAATTCACACACATCCTGCAGACATCAAAGACTATATACAATTCAGCGAAACCTTACAAGGGTATGCGTGTATGTTTGTCCAGTGGAATAAAACTGATCTTAATTCTGAAGTCATTGGCTTTCTTCTCAGTGATACAAATGTTGTTATTCTTGTAAACAACATACTTAAAATACACACCTTAGTGCTATTTTCTGCTCTGTCACTATTAATGAAGTGGCCTTGGGAACTTATTACAGGTTATGCATGCAAAATGGCTAGTTGCACAAAAGGTGATTTTCCTGAGTTTTAAAAATAGCATATTTATAGATGTTAATGTATGGTTTATATGCAGCATATAATTCAGTGTATCATGATTTATATTTAACATATTCATTACATGTATTTCACTTTGTAGGATTGGTGTATAGTAAAAATGAGACAAGATATAAGAAAAGTTCTGCATAAAATACAATAATTGATTATTTAATCCACGTGGATTAATAATAAATCAAATAGATGACAGAAAAAAGCCCACCTAATTCTGGGTTTAATGGGCCATTCAGTTTAGTTGACTGCATGTGCAAAAACATGGAAGACCATCTGCTGTGAGGTCTGCTGGGTTTTCTGCTGCCAGTACTGTGAGGCAACAGTATTTGCCTAAGGACAGAAAAAATATGAGCAGAAGGGCTGTAAGAGCCTCAGATGTAAGAGTTTTCTACTCAGCTTCTCACAGCAAGAAATAAACTCATGCCTGTTATAAAGAATTGGCTGAATAAAATGTGACGATACTACAGGGTAGCCATTATGATGGATAAGATACAGTAAAATGTATTGACACGGAAAGATACCAATAATACTTTAAACAACAAAGTTAATGTAGCTGATAGTATCTTATCTACAAAAGAAAAATCACATTATATGAAGACACACAAATGTATATCCCCACCACAACACACTCTTACATAAACACACTAAAATATTTACAGATGTTACCTTTGGATGGAAGACTATTAATGATTTTTGTTTTATTCGTTATGTACATGTTCCTTTTAATATTTTTGTTTAATGAGTATTATTATTTGTGAACTGTTTAAGTAAAAAGTAATTAACTGCCAAAAGGTCAATTATTAATGAAGCTTGTAAGAGTTTTCTTTTTTATTTTTAAATTTTATTTTAAAAAGAGAAAAGTCAGAAAAGAAAAACAAAAAGAAAAACACATAACAATAGCAAACTCAAAATAATAACAATGTAGGTTTTGAAACAGAACAAAAGAAATTTAGCAATGGTTGTTATATTGCATATTGTTCTCTTTTTTTCAAAGAAAAAAAGAAAATTAAAATAGAAAAACAGAAAAGAAGGGTAGAACAATACTGAATTCAAAAAAATTAACGTCATAAAATCACTAGTTGATACATTATCCATTGTTGTAAAAAATAGTTGCCAAAGTCACAAATCAAAGAATAAATAGTGCCTAGACACTCAGACATTGATAGTGTAAATCATTCTGTTCAATATTCCAACATAAATTCAGTAATATGGTCAGCTATCTTACACACTATACATACCTTTATACCATTTAGAGCACTTTCGTTCCTTTCATTTTCACAATATCTATTATACTTTTTGGATCCCATCATTCTGTCAGTTTTTATTATTTTTATACTAGAGAGGCAATGTGACATTTACTAATGTGAGTCTTGTTTATTTCACTCTTGATATTTTCAAATTGCCTCCATTTACCTATAAAGGTCTCAAGATCATCTTTTTATATAGCTGAGTAGTATTCCATTGTATAAAAATACATTTTTCACCCATTCTGCAGTTGATGGGCATTTTTGCTGTTTTCAAGATTCAGCTATCACAAATTGTGCTGCTGTGAACATGGGTACACACATGTCTTTGTGACATGACCTTCTTAATTTTTCTGAGAAAATACCAAGGAGGAGAATAACTGGATTGAATGGAACCTCCAATCCTAGTTTTTTTGAGGAATTTCCACACTGATTTCCACAGTGATTGTACCAGTCTGCACTCCCACCAACAGTGGAGCAGTGTTCCTTTTTCCGCATCCTCACTAACATTTGTTATCAGTGGTTTTCTTGATAGCAGCTATTCTTCCCAGGGTGAGATGAAATCACAATGCTGTGTTAATTTGCATTTCTCAAATGGCCAGTGATGGTGACATTTCTTCATGTATTTATTTGCCATTTGTGTATCTTCATCTGAGAACTGTGTGTTCATCTCTGATGCCCATTTTTGGAGAGGACCTTTGAATTTGGGGAGTTTTCTAGACCAAGAATTTGAATGCTAACAGAGAATAGCTGATTAACCCTTTCTTGCCAAAAAGTGTGACCATGTAAGATTTTCTTGGCAGCCTAATGTTTAGAAGCCTTCAGTACTGTCTATGTAGACATTATTAATGGTTTGCTGAACAATCAAAGACATATGTGAATGTCTCATTCCTTGGCTGAGTCACTGAATATTTATTAAATGGCAAACACATATTCTTTCTTTTTATTTATTATTATATATCACAGATGCAACAGTGATTATTACTTTATTGTTATGTACTAAGTTTAGGCATTTACTAAACACAGACTTGGCTCTGTGCTACACAGTGCGTTTAGGGGGACACAATAGAATTGCCTTCTTCCCCGGGGAATTAAAAGGTCTTTCTCTCACTTTCAGGACGATCAAGTTACAGCACAGAACGTTTACAGGACTTGCTGCTAAGCTGCTGAGCAACAACTAGGTCAGAGATCTAATTTCTCTAAAGGGTGTGCCGGAACACTGCACACACACCACACCTCAAACAGATGCAGAAAAGGCAATATTTTCTATAGTGAATGACAACAAATTAGGGAAAAATTAAAAAAAGAAGTAACACCCAGGAATTCACCACCCTAAGCAGTTAAAAATGCGACTGACAAGTGTGTCAGAAAATGTTGCAGACAGTTTTCAGTGCTTATATATTGTGTGATTTTGTAGAAAACAAACCAAAATATATTTAACCAATTAATGCTGACTATAAATAAAATACATATTAATGCACTCTCTCCATTAATGTAAGAATAAGGCTTTTTTCAGATAATCCACTAACTTCAAAAACCTAACTTGGAGTGGCCCAGTAATCAATGATATTCAACATCAGTACATAGTGTGGTTTCAGATCTAACTTACTGAATATTTCTTGTCTAACTTATTGAATATTTCACCACATTATTAAAATTTTTACTATAAAATAAAAAGCCATGTATTACCTGGAAGAAACATAAATTTTTATCATAATTGGCATCTAAATTTCTCTCTGTATTTTTCATGTCAACACAGACACATCTTTATTCTGTAGAGAAAGCAATTTATTTTGCAAAACAGAAACAATTATAGTTTTCAAACTCAAATGGAAAACTGATTATCTCCTTGTTTCCTTTTCTGATCTAGTATTTCTTTGGGTCTGCTAAGTGACAGATGAATTTGCCTCACAATGAAAAATAAAAGCCATTTCTAGATTCATGTCAAGGCAAAAAAAGAGGCCCTAACATTGCAGAACTACAGTTAGAGCTCTAACTTAATGTGAGTATGTAAAATAAATATTTTAAAAATATTACAATCATAATGTAATATATGTGTCTAAAAGAAGTTTCTTAAGGAAAAAAAATAAGTTTTTTTTTTCATGATATTTTAAGCTGCCTGGTCAGCTGCACACCGATCCCCACATATGGAACAGATTTCGGTTGATGGTTATACCTTTAATGTGCAGGTCAGCTGACTTATATGGCTACCTTTCTCTCCACTGTGGATACGTGGAGTCCTCAGTGCAGGACTTCTGGGAGTTCCTAGAGTAAAGATTATATTCTCAGGGCAACTACAGCCTCCCAAGTCCTTGAGCATTATTTACTGTCTCAGTCTTCCACATCCATTTGGTTTGAATCAGAGCACATTTCTTTTCTTTTCACCTCAAAAGAAGAAGAAGAAGAAGGAGAAGAAGGAGGAGGAGGAGGAGGAGGAGGAGGAAGAGGAGAAAAAGAAGAAGAAAGAAAGAAAGAAAGAAAGAAAGAAAGAAAGAAAGAAAGAAAAGTGCATGTTAAACTACTGATTAGAATAATAAACCTTCTTGAACTAGTGAAGAACATAGTTTAGAACACAGAAATTAGGGTTATAAATGAGGATTTGCTTTTCATAAAAAAAGAACTTCTCAAGAAACAAGTAGAAATTGCTCTTTCATCGTGCAATTTTAGTGGCTATGTCGACCTCTTGTCATCTGTGTCACTCAGACAAAACTCATGAGCTCCTTTCAGCTCTGTTCCTCAATCCTGCCTTTTTGCACTGTTCCCAAGTTCATATCCATTGGTATCAGCCACAATAGCTTCATCCCCAACCCACCTTCACCCAACTCCAGCCTGAGCTTCCCGGGTCTTTCTGAGTAAGGATGCAGAGCACAGAGACGGATGCTGGAAGGGTGTGTGCAAATGGTGAAGAGGGCATGTGCTGTAATCCAGAATCTGAAGACGGATAGGCTGATGTCAGGGACGCAGTGTAGCACACACCGTCAGTGCTCCATTTGTATTTCTTAGACTGTGAGTGTGCTCCTGTCAACGTGAGTCTGTCACCATCTTTGTGCATGAGGGCTGATTTTCTTAACTCATATGGGATTTCTTCATCTACAAGCATGAGCATCAGCCCACAAATGCCTGTAATTAACAATGCTCAGGAGCAGTGCTCTATCAGTGACTCTCTGCCTTAGGTATACAATTACTCCTTGATTCCGTTTGGATTTTGACATTCCTCCAAAGCTCCATGTGTTAAAGACTTGGTGTACAGCATGGCCTTATTGGAAGGAAGTAAAGCCTTCAAAAGCTGAACCTAGCACAAGATTTTAGGTCACTGAGGGTGTGCCTTTGAAGGGGATACTGGGACCCTGGCCCTGCCCTTTCCTTCCTGTCACTTTTGCTCTTTCTGTTATAAAGTGGACAGCTTCGTCTGGCTTGTGTGGCTGCCATGGTACTGCGACCACAAGCACAGAAGGACCAACTGATTGAAACCTTCAGATCTGTGAGCTGAAATAAACCTTATCTCAGGTATCTTGTTATAATAACAACTGACTTAGACACCTCCTCTCCCTTATCTGTTAAACACAATAATTTAAAGATACTGTTTCTCTGCTCTCTAAATATATCCCTGTGTAAGTCATGTTTACTTATCCAAATGATAACTGTCCCAATAACCATGCTGAACAGGCAACTCTTTCTTTTCTCTCGCTTTCTTATTAACCTGCTGGTATTCCATGGTACTCCCAGGTAACATGTGCCTCAGATCTGCTTGTAAAGATCTCAATTACAGAAACCATCACCTAAATTGGAAATTTTTGGTTTATATTTATAATATTATTTTTAAAAACACAAATATCATCATTAAAATTCTCATTGATGACTTTGGCTGCTAACAGTGACCTTCATTGGTCTTTGTGATGGCCATGCCCAAGAAGAGACAATCATGTTACAAAAAGATGGAGTACAAATTAGCTGATGCCATTTATTTTGGTTACATCATTAATACTTAACATTTGGGCTGGCCTATGAGTATTGTCAAGAAACTTCAGTGTTTATAACATACTCATTTGGGGTTATATATTTCAGTGTCTATGAATTTACAATTTTGGCAAGTGATTTCCTTTTGTTTTTAATGGTAGGTGTCCCTTATTGTTGAAATTTGAAAATGTTGACACATTCACATTGTATAGAATATTATCATGAACTTGTAACCAAAGTATGGTCTCATATTATTACTTCTAACTTTAACTGGGAAAATTGTATTGTTTCCCTTCAAGAATGTCAGACATTAGGTTGACATTTTAAGAAATAATAACATGACATAGTAATTATTTTTTAATCAATGATATTTTAAAATATAGGCTTTCTATATCTACACTATGTTAGCAGTGTGAACTTGTTACATAGTTTCATTTAAAATTCAAAGTATTATAAAAGTAAAAGTGTCAACCATATTCCCAGTACTTAAATATAACTATTAATATTTCAAATGTTTACAAATACCTCTTATGTTTACACATATGTATCAACATAAAAATTACATAATACATATAGTTTTATAATTAGTATATTTACATTAAATTTTCATAAATACTGAAAATAGTTACATTGTCTACAACTAGAGATCACACTACACAAAGGATGGGTAGGTGATCAATGTATGCTACTAACTAAATGTACATCTTGAAGTTGCACCTTCTGTTAGAAGCATGCAATCCTTGTGTTTATAATTTGTAGTTGTTACCATTGAAGGAAAAAAGAATATCCAAGGAAAAGAATACAAGAAATATGCAAATAATATGTTAATTTATAAATTTACTTATCTGTGTAATGTTTCTATTGTGATGAACAGATGAGGATTGTACAGAGGTAAGACAAACTTGCCCTGAACCAGTCTTAGCTCAGCAAATACAGAGTCAGGCAGTTTTCTACTACAGGAAGACCTAGAAAAATTAGGAAATATGAAACAAACAAAATAAAAAACAAAGATGAAACATTCTTGGCCTAGCTGCCTTTGCAAACCTGGGTAAGGTTTTTAAGCTTGCTGAATCATTAGGTTCATCCACTGTAGCAAGAGGAGTGAGTTTTTCTGCGACCATTTTTCATACCAGGACTTTTATGAGTTGGCCATTCTTTGGGTTCTTGCACATTGTTATAGAGTCATGGGTTTTCTTTGTCAAGTTCTCTTTCTTTTGATAACTCATCTCTTTCTTTCAGAGAGTCATACATTTCTTGTTGTTCACCAGACATCTTAACTGAGACAGACTCCCACACTGGGACCCAGAGCTGGGAACGTCTACCAAGCTTGGCCAACCGGCATACCAATGGTTTTGAGTGCAGTGATTCACTCATGGAATGATATCTGACCCAGTTTTCCACTGAGAGCCCTATTTTCTTGGTAGAACTTTTCTCTCCATTCAGGTTACACATCTGGAAGAAGATGAGTCTGAAACTGCGCGTATCTGTATTTGCCATGCTTGGGACAATCTGTAGAAAGTAAAGTAAGCACTAAGATACACACACAGGAAAGTAGAGTGTAGATTACAGCTTCTAAGTCTTCACTTCAAAAAATGGTTTAAGGACTTCAAGAGTAACACTTTATTGAGAGGGTCATTTAAAGAGAGGTAGCCTCTCTTTAAAGGACCCTGGCTATAAAGCAGAAACTGAAATTCCTAAATTTCAAACCTATTGTGAAAGCAGGAATTCATCACTATAGTGTTTGATAATTAGGATGTTACTCCCATGAAAAATGGATTATTAGAATTCCTTCTATTCTCTAGGCATCTCGTGCCTTTCTGGATTGTTGATAGCATGCATTCTGGATTGTCCTTCAAAAAAAGCAAAGTCACTGAAGATTGTAATTTTTAAAGCAAATAAGAGCTCTACTACATCAGGTTTCATTTTTTGGTAGATAAAGATATTGTTTCTTTTTGTTGTCATTGTTTTATTTCTTAGCGCATCAGTAGGACTCTGCTCAAGCAAGGAAGTTAAAAGATACAGTGTGAAGAATTGTAGTACTGAGTCTTATAGCATCCCATAGGATAGAAAATGTCCCAGACAGAGCTTAGGAAAGAGCCACGGGGCCTCCATGGAGCCTTAGGAATAGGTCAGATGTTAAAGATCTTGAAAATTGGGCTAAGACTCTGAAGTTTATCCATTAGGTAACTGGAGTCTATGGAAATTTCCTAAGGATAAAATCACATGAAAAATCCTTGTTTTCAAAAAGAGTCTGATGATACTGTTTAGGGAAGTGGTTCCCTAAAATGTAACTCGAATTAGCTGGATCAGTACATACAGGAATTCCTAAACCACAGCTGGACCTACTAAATAAAAGGTCCTTTAATATGCCTCCAGGTAACTGTTAGGGTCACTCCAGAGCCCATAGATGTGACAGCCAGGAATACAGCTCAGTGGCACAGCACCTGCCTGGCAGGTGGAAGATCATCATTTCGATTCCCAGGACCAACAAAACAGAACAAAACAAAAAAACCTGCCCCCCCCCCCAAAAAAAAAGAACTCATGGATGTGAGAAGGGGAAAGGAGGTGCTGATGAGACTTCAGTATTGCCTTCAGATGTTTCAAGTCAAGGGCAATTCAACCGGCAGCACGGAGGCAGGTTGCCCATCCCTTAAACAGAGAAGGTGGAATTTATCCCTTCATTGAAGGGATGTGATAGAGCGATTTTTTCACCTTTGTCAAATTCTATGCAATCTACAAAATATGCCCCAACCTCAATGATTTTCCAGAGAAACAGGGAGAAGAAACAGAAAGGTAAAATGAAGCCACAGTCTTCTTCTATCCCCTAAATTGCTCCAATTTCTGATTGGCAAAAGGCTTTCATCGTATCGCTCTTGTTCTCGAGGCTCTGGATGCCTTTGGAATGGTATTTCTTACTTATTTAGTTACTGCTAAACTCAGAAAGATGTGACTCTGGATATGAGTGACTTCAAAGCTATTTCTCATCATGTTCTTGATTTTATACCCATGAGACGTTGGCAGGTAGTAAGAGTAACACATATAAGAAAGTTGGGCCTCTGGCAGGTGGGCAAAATTAGTAGGAAACCTTCTTAGAACTTACTGGGTGCACATAGTCTTCCACAAGTCTGAAAGTCTTCTGTACCTGGGGCAGGAGCATTGTGTGCTGCAGGAACCTCTGTTCCCCTAGTGAGAATTAGTCCATCAGATAGCCTCAACAGAAACAGTCTGTGCCCATTGGCTCTCCATTATACCAGCTTATCCATATTTTAATTCATAGACTTATTGTGAAATGCAGTCAGATACTCCTGGTATTTGGAAGAAACATTATAGGCCATGAAAACGCCCCTCATTTTCTTCATTGACAAATGTCACTGTGGTCTCTTGAAGAAACTTTACAAAGCTGTGGCACATGTTACTTTGTAAACACTGAAGAAAATGTAAAGCATTTTGTGAATGTTTCAGATATGCCTACATCCCCAAGCAAGGCATGACATAACTACTTGAGACCTGACTTTGAGACTTGCATCAGACCACTCATCCGACCTTGCACTTGCACTCCAGAGATGCCAAGAATGAGGGTGGAATGGTAGAGAACATTTCTTTGGGCAACATTGGAATGGATAGGCTCTGAGTCTCATCTAACCCTGTAAAATGCACTGTAATATAGACTATTAGCATCTTTATAAGCAGGGGCTCTTTAACGAGTAAATGAGATCATCTATCTAGCCCAGGGTTTTAACACATTGGCACTAACACCATTTTAGAGTGAATAATTCTTTATTGTGTGAACCTATTTGTGCACTGAAGGACAGTTAGCCATAATGCTTAATGAACTCAAAAGAAACTAATCATTGGGATAGACTGTCAAAGATCACTTGAATTTGTCTCAAGCTTCCCCATTTGTTATTCCAGACTTATCTCAGATATTCAGAACTGCACTGTGATCAGGGAGTTTTAACAACAAAAATTAGACTGGCAGGAATGCTGAGACAAAGAAACAGACCTTGGGACCAGGTTCTTTCCAGTGGCCGGAAGTGATCTTCCCTAAAGTAAGGACTAATATTCACATTATAGAATTTTTTAAAATGAGATGTTTTATGAGGAAAAAGTTGAATATTCTCTCTCATTTAAAGTCTACATAAAGGAACTTGGACCCCAGAGATGAATTTAACATTTCTTGGCGAATTATTTCTCCATGAATTCTAGAAACTGTCAAATTCAAGGTAAACAATCACTTTCTCCATACTAATATTCTTGTGGATTACACTTTTGGCTCCTGTGGATTAAACCTTTTGGCTCTTTATATAAGCTGTGTTGTGCTGCTGGGGAAGGTAAGGAACAGATGTGCAGGTGAATTAAACCATTGTGTCTCAGCTTTCTGTTCTCTTTCCTCCATCTTGGTGATCCTGGGGTGGCTGTCCTACAGTTCTGACTTGTCGGATCAGTTCTTGTTAGATTTCTTCAGTAGAAAAATACAGTTCTTTCAAAGAGACTACAAGACTGCAGGAGGAAGAGGGCTTTCTTTTGACCTTGGCTGCCTTTCCTCTCCTGTCACCTAGGCAATGACTCACACTAAGCATCGTTGGAAGTTTATGTAGTAAGACTTTGTTCAACATTCTAGTAATTTTTCCTACCTCCTTAGAACCAACTTATGGCGCACCTAGTGATATCTGTGTTAAATTTCAAGCGTTATCACCTTAGAGACTTGGGTTTTCAGTTTGCCCTTCTTATAGGCCTAATTCCAACTCAACTAGCCTCAAAGTTGTATTAAGGGTGTCAGTATCCTGATCTCTCTTTCTTCAGTCCTGGGGGTGTTAGTTGAGTCCTACAGTCACTGTATCTTTATTGCCTCTGGCCTATTAGACTTCTAATGCAAATTTAACCACCTCTTTATTTTAAATTCTCTTTGCTAAAATTACTGGGATGTTTTTGTTTGGCTGGAAGGACCCTGGCAGGAATAAGGGAGGCAAAGTTTGTGTGCCGCACTTTTCTGATGGGACCAGTACAGTGGCATCAATTCAGCCTCCAGGCACTCAGCGACCCTGAGGATGTCCTTCATGAGAGTGTGCAGTCAGCAGAAAACTTCAGAGAACGAAGTCGTGATGTCAAGAAACAACAACCAAATGAACAAAATAGAAGCACCGTTGGTAAGATTCTCCTTCTGTCCCAAACCTAAGGGTCACTGTGGATTAGTGTCTGGTCATATCACAACAAAATAAAATCTAATTAGAGAATGGCAAAAGCATCAGCATATCACATTTAGAAAGAGAATGTATTGCTACGAGTCTTTTGTTTTCGGTTTATATAAATCTATAAGTGTGTCTCAGCTAAAGCTACTGGACATTGCACTGATTTCTGATAGATAATTTGTCTTAGAAACAGTAAATATAATCCATATTTAAAAGAATACCGTATGGCACAAGGATTGTGATTTTACAATCATTTATTTGGCATTGAACACTTTGTTTAAATGGTTGCACCGATTGAAAAGCCCCTAATGGAATATCTGGTTCAGGCTCCAGATGGCTTACCTATACCCACTCCTTCCATGATTCTAATGAAAAGGAACATAGTTACCCTAACAGGTAGGGACATGAGCCATCATTTCCTTGCTCACATGAGTATGTGTGCAATTGTAGATTCAGTCTTATTTGAACGAAAGATTTGATTCTCAAGAAGTGAAAATGAAACTGTAGATCTTTAAGACCATACAGTATATTAAGAACTGGCACAATCTCAGCTTCACTGTTATTTGAATTTCAGCTTTTCAAAGGTCATCATTCTTGAACGTAGTAGCACTCCACTGAGAGAGAAGATATGAAATTCATGATCTTTAGTAGAGCACACGACAAGTTCACGTCACTTGCAGGTCAAAATGCAGATTTGCGTTTAGTAAGTCTGGAGTGAGGGTTGAGATGCTGCCTTTATCAACAAGCCTCCATATACTGCTGCTGCTGTTATTGCTGGTGCTTCTGGTGCTGCATTGCCCCTAGTTTGAGGAAGGATCTAGCAGCTTTGCCTATAAAAATAAGTAATGGAAAAAATTATTGATCCTATAAGCAGGGGATTAGGGCATATCAAGCTGGCTGGACAACAGGATGTAACATATCAAGCATGGAGCAGTGAAAAGGAGGCTGAGCAAATAATGTAACTGTCAGTCGTGGAAAACTGTCAAGTCTTCCGTGAGCAGAATAATTTCCAAAAGACTGGATCTGAAAAGTTGTAGTAAAAGATGCTAATCATTGACTTCAGAGCCATGGCTGTCTTTGTTCTCACAGTGGCCTGTAACTACATGTGTAATGTATTTTCGATTTTCTTCTCTTTTTACATGTCCCCTCTTCACTTTTTAGTTTTTATTCTTTTATTTTAAATAAATGCTTCCTTATCACACACATCAATTGTTCTGGCCAGTTCTTTGGATGAGACTGCAAGATGCTAGAACCACTGGACACCTTGCTGCCTGGCAACATCTTGGAGGTGGAAGCACTGGTATGTCGGCCTTGTTTCAGTGAACTCGATCAGCAGTGGTGAGCCTGCGGCACGTGTGCCACAGCTGGCTATTGCTTGTGATTGGAAGTTCTAAAAGGTTCACTATCACTGCCCTCGATGAATGATTTACAGGAAAATCCCTGAAGCTTTTGAAGCAGTATCTTTCTCATGGAAAAAAATAAGTAATGATAATGATACCTAGTTCAAGGAAATGAAAAAATACATACTCATATGGTTGTGAAAAACCAGACCATATAAATAATTGACAGTATGGCTATCATGCTTCAGTTTACTCAGTTTAAATTCTTAAAGGAAAATGTTTTATGGTTAGTAGGTAGATAAAAATTTCCCCAAAAAACTGAAAAGTGAATTTCTATTTACATTTTATAATCAAATTTCCAATAGTTTGGAGGAAAAAGTGTGCCTTGAAGAAAATGACTATCGGGCCAATGAATACAAGAACACATTTGATCATCATTCTTTATGTTTGGTTTTGATGAGTTTTAATTCAACCAGTGACATTCAGAGGCTGCTCCATCAAAACTGAGCTCAACAGTAGTAACTGTGCAAACTATTTGCTTGATTATAGACTTAAGACTCTGGAGGCCTTTCCAGACAACAGCGGGTCTTGAAAAGATGCCACTGCAAGCTGTGCAAACACGCAGTGTACGCAGGCCAACTTCTGTTTGGTTAATGAAACTTTCACAGCTGAGCAAACTCAAGAGCACTATTTGTCAGGCCTCCTTTCCCTTCTATGGCAAACCAACCAGGAAAGTGAATTCCTTTGGAATAACCCACAGATGCCTCTTTGAGTTAAACAGTAGATTTGTAGAATGTGGCTCTGTTGACATCTTCTTTATTTGCAACATGGATGCTCTTCCTTGAACATCTTTCTGCTTCCTGTGGATTCCTGTGTATGGAATGGATTTATCAATTTACTTAATCTTCCTTCCCTACACTCCTGTCACCCACATCCCTGACTAAATAGAGGCAATAAGGTCATTCCAGTTTTCAGGTCATCCTAATTTAATATAGCAGGAATGATTTTATAATAACTGCTTTCAACAGTCTGTTGAACCATACTTTGTGGAGTGCCCAGAAAATAATTTTTCACTCACAAGATAATAGTCCAGTAGCATAGGCTAATATTCAGTGTTTATTTTATAAAGCTATTTTAAGACAAAAATAATAACTTCTTTTGAATTAGCAAAGAAGAGATTACCTCTAGCAGGTGACTTTCAAAACTCTGTTCTTGTAACTGATGAGTGAAGAGAACCAAAATGTTAGAACTTTGCTGTTGCACCTTTGCTAAGTTGTGTGATCTTTGGTGATTTAATTTCTTACTTCAGTCTTCTCATCTATAAAATGAGGGTAGCAATAAAAATCATGAAGTCATTGCGATGCCTATGTTAAGATATTGTATATGTAAAGTTCATCATGGGACTTGGCACAAAAGAAATGATAGAATATACTAATTATTCCTATAAGTATTATCCAAATTTCAATCTACTGATCTGATTGTATTGTCTATAGACCAGTTTCATAAATTTTCTGTGATCAAGCATTGATGGAAGTAATTTCTGGGGTCTTGTAGATGCTGATACTCATAATACTGGCACCTGTCATTGACTGGGGGAAGAGAGAGCTAAGCATTTTACATTCAAACACAGTTGATCATCCTGTAATAGTAAGGAAATCAAGGTGTAGAGACCTACTGGAAAATGGTAGAACTGGCATGTGAACTCCCAGATATCTGACCTTATGACCTTAATGTGACATACTGCAGCCCAGATGGGCTGCACCTGTTTAGGTTTACTCACTACTGAGATTTCTGTGAAATGGATGGGGTGCTCTGGGAGTGGAGAGGGTAGCAAGTGAAGAAAGGGATAAAAATGGATGGATAGACTTTTGAACATTACTACATTACTAGAGTATTTGGGGAAGTTCTAGGATATGCACATTTTTCTTTTAGAAAATAATGAATTTGAAAACACTGTGACACTTGCATTCATAAAAATCATTCCTTCTTTCTATAAGGAAGGTTTGTTGTTGTCTTTTATATATGCTTCAATTTGTGTTGAGAAAAGTCCACATGTGGGCTTCATTATGTCAGGGATGCCATCTCTGTCATCCTCTGTCATCTGTAAATCAGGTTGATTTATCAAGGCAAGTACCCACTGTGCAGTTTCAGAAGCTCCTGGCCACCTGGATTGATCATTTCTACCTGCTTATCAATATTGAAGTCCTTCTAGGACCGTCCAACAGATTCCAGTATTGAAGATTACATTAAATGGGAGTATCCCTGAGAAAAACAGCAAAATGACATGTCACCAAGATGGCATTTGTCAAATGAAAATAAAAAAGAGATCACTGCTTTTGAGTTCAATAAATCTGATTTTACAATCTAAGTAAGCAAAGACAAGATTCTTTCAGGTTCTGTAAGCCTCTTTTTTTAAAAGCATAATAAAAATAACCTCATGGATGCTTATAAGGATCAAATGAGAAAACATTTCTAAAGCACTTAACTCTGTAATTGGAATAAAGTAAATGTGAGAACCATTGAGTATATAACTTTTGTTATTGCTAGTTGCTTTCTAAAGAGTGGCTTAGAATTAAATGTAAGGTTCTTGGATTTCTGTGAGACGGATGGGGCGCTCTGTGAGCGGAGAGGATAGCAAGTGAAGAAAGGGATAAAAATGGATGGATAGACATTTTGAAAATAGCTCACTTTTTTCCCAGGGATCCTCCCAGTGTGCCCTGCTGTGTAAAATTCTTATCTCTGACTGGAGACCTTTTCTCTTTGTGGAAACTTGATCTCATTAAGCTTCTTTAATGACTGAAGAATACCAACCTGACCTGTATAAACAATGAGAAGTCTTTTTGTCTTTTTGAACTGACAGTTTTTAGAAGTATAAGACGTAAGAAGAATTATCTGAAACCTGTTTGATTTTTGGGGAAAATAGGATAAGTAGGCATGGCAGAGATGGTAGGTGTGATCAAGAATTTATAATTTAAAAGCATGACTGGGATATTCTTCCATGAAGTCTATGCATTTAGTAATTTCTTGATAAAGATTTACTAAATAGGGTACTTAATAAAGATTCACCAGTGAAATTCTGATGAGTGACTCCAGATTTTACTCAGAGATCAGTGTGATGTGACTGCGGTTTATTATGAAGTTCTTTACCTAGATATAGGCAAATCCTGCTAATCTCTGCTGTCTCTAACTGAAATGGCTTTACAAAGTCAGGCAGAAGTGTAAGAGCTCCCTGAACAACAAACTGGGTCATTCCTGCTTGGTTCTTTCTTCAGAAGGGTCTGAGAGTGATATAGGTTAACTCAGATCAAATATGTTATCCGTAGGGACGAAGAGACTAAGATACAGAACACACAGCCCTTGACTCCAAGATTTTGTAGCAATGACTGCTAAGAGAGATAAATAAAATTCTGCAGGTGTAATATCAGGAAAGATGCTCCAACAATGTGCTTAAGAGTCACCTGCATGAGTTAACACACATTCCTAGGCACTACTCTCAGAGATTCTGACTTGGTTCTGCAAAGGATGTGTATTTCTAAAATAGCAATGATGGTGTTGTAGGAAGGTACATGTATCAGAGAAGAAGAGTCCTATGGGAAGGCAAAATGGTTTCTACTCAGAATTGTACAACAAGCTAACTTTTAGTAGAATATGATGGTATTTTGATAAATTCTACAGAACTGGAAGTGGGAATTATAACTAGGCTTTGTAGGGTGACATTTCCTTCCCTAGAAATCCCCTTACTTACTTGTTAAGCCCAGTTATGTTTTAGAGGTTTGTCCCACCATCCCCTACTTGAACTGCTCCCTGACTAGTCAAGTCTCTATCACTGCCAATTTTCAGCATGCTCAGTAGCATTCCTTCATTAACCTTTTCCATATGAATTTACAATCTTGTTTCTCTTGGTCTCAGGCCTGACTGCAGCCCGCTCAGGGTATGTCAGAGGTATCTTGCATCCACAGACCCAACACCATACTTCTGACGTAATTGACATACAGAAATGTTTGTGCATTTAATTGCAGAAAATTAATGTCTAGTTTAGATTCATTTTAAAGAATTGATCATTTAGTGGCTAAACTCTTCAAAGAAGACAGCTATAATTATATCTTTACATTTCTCCCATTGAATCCTGGTAGTTCTGGCCACTGAGAAGTGGCTTGACTTTCGTTAGGCTTTTGCCCCTGCCTCTCCATGGTGAGAAATCACCAAAGACAATCACATTGCTTAATCCAGTGACTCTTAATTAATTCTGGCCCACCAATACATTTAAAATTCTTACTCCATTGGCTTTCATTTGCTTTCCTTGAGTCACTTCCTGGCTATATGGTCTTTATAATGTTTTACTCTCTGGTTACACATTCTTAATACTTTTTAAAAATTCTTCTCCATCTCTTTGACCACTCAAAACTGTACTCTTCTTGGCTCCATTCTTTCACCTCCTCTCCTTTGATCTTCATTTATTTTCTTGATGAGTACACTATTGTGTTGACAACATGAAGCCCATTTCATCTCCAGCTTTGGTCTTTTTGCTCAATTGCTGATCTATTTCTCCACCTGGATGATGTTTAGTGTTAGTTTAGCTCAATGACAACTCTCACTTCTATGAAACACTTAAAATTTACTTCATTCAGTTAGCTCTCCTGATTTATAATACCTACATCCTATCATAGACTTCTTACATCAATAAATTCTATTGGCTGGTTATGCCTAAAACTTCAGCTTACTCACTTTTTGAGATGTCAACTGGAGATGACAACATAAGAAATTCCCTCTGTACCTTGGAAACACATTCAAAATGCATCCAGCTATTGTCAATGTCAGTTCAGAATCATCTCTCCCCTCATGACTAATTTCTTGCTTCAGCCTTGCCATATATCCACACTATAATGTATAGTGCACACTCAACTAAACAACACACAAATTTCAAATGTCAGAATTTTTGTAATTTTATTATATTATTTCTTTGTTCAAAAAAAAAAAAAAAACCCAATGGTTTCATGTCTCAGAGTTAAACCCAAATTCCACACAGCGATTTGCATTTCTGACCTAGCTTTGGAGTGGTAAAGAAAGTGCTTCATATGAAGCACATTCTTCTTTTGTGCCTTGTATTGGTCTCTCTTCCTCTGGATTCCATCCCAAAGTATTCTCACTTTCTTTAGGTGACTTATCAAATACCACTTTATCAAAGAAGCTTTAATAATTCTAATAAATCCTTCCTTTAACTCTCT